TAATCTTATTATAGTAATATTTTGAATCATAGAACTAAACATTATAGTTGTAGAAGCTTGGAAGCATCAGTTTATCTGAGTAATAATGTTGGTGCCCAGCACAACTGAGTCAAGAGGGAACTTTTGTTATATCAGCAGCTGTTTGAAAACTCCCACACAGAGTGACTCAGTTGCAGTTCCATTTAGTGTGTCAATGTCCTAGTAACCAGCGTTTTCGGGTTCACTGACCCTTAATGCATATTTTAAGTGTTGCATTCTTTTAGGATATTGTACTAATAAGGTGCATAGGTGAGGAAACACAAAGTGTACTGACTCACTTCTTTTGGCTCCTTCACACACAACTTTAAGTCAGTAATTGTATATACACATTCTGGAAAGTAGGTTAATGATAATGGACTGTAGCGAATCAGCTCAAAGGGGAAATATGAATAATTAATCATAACTAGTTATAATTAATTATAAATATTTAGATCCGCTGTAAGTATTTACTTGACCTCTCAGGGTCAACTGTCTGTCAATTCTAAGAACGTTAATTTCCTGGTTAAGGGAAATAACTTTCTTATTGTACAATACTACACAGAGCCTGTAGCATAAATCTGCAGTTATGAGCAAACAATGACCAACGTCAAGTGTGATACAAGTAAGACTTTATTAAATCATATGGTTTGTTAACTGAGTGGTGTTACAGAGTATTTGTTAAATATAACTAACAAAAACTATATTGTGTGTCTGATTGGTCCAGACGCTACAGGACTTATTAAAGGGGCAGTTCACCCAAAAAGGAAAATTCTGACATCAATTTGTCAAGTTACCTATGGCTTACTTTTTTCATTGGAATATAAATTTTTTTCACTGCCAGACTGTACCATTGCAATGGACAGTTCTGTACACTCCTAAGGGTGTGGTAAAATATATACTTCCTCAAACACGTTCAAAGGCTACAGAAGAAACAAAATGTTATGGAGGAGGCAAGATAATTTCAGGATGGATATGCAGCTTAGGACAAGTGAGGTGAAGTTATTTCAATATTTATACCCCCTTTTTTTCTTTTTAAACACTTCAATGTCCTTAAGATATGTAGGAAACTTTTTCCTAGTCGAAGCAGAGACCAGGAGACGTTGGGATATCTTTCATACAGAAGTTACTCTTTATTGAGGACTTGCTGCAGTCATCCAAGTCTGACTACAGCTCAGCACAGCAGAGTTTATACCTTTCAAGGGGGAGGGATACATAGAGGTGGAGACAATCTAAACAAAGCATGCAAATGCATTACAGGAATCATCCCGTTACCGGAATTTCTCCAGCCCTGATCTCATCGGCATAACAGTGTCATTCAAATGCATAGGTGCTAATCCAGTCAGCCTGACAGTATCGCCCATACCTTCACATTATCATAGAGACAAAGGCACAGCTGTGCCTTGAGCTTAGCATTCACCTTTAACTTGGGACCCTGCCCAATGGTCAGGAAGTGCATAAAGACAAAAGGTTAATGTCTCAGACACCTGGGATGCCTGACTTGATCTTCATCATCTTTACCTCAAAATGTAAAACACAATGTACATAACTTTTTCAGTTTATATACTATTACATTGGAACCTAGATATAACATTTTATAAATTTGTAATCCAACATCTTGTGGTAGGAGCTGAATTATGTAGATGTGGAGAGCTTGGAGTGGAGTGTGTATTTTCTCTGATAGCCGGTACACGTGTCACAGTTGGAGATGGGGTGTGCCACCCATGGGATTCCTGCTCCTACTGAAGGCGTGTGTGGCATGCAAACGTTCTTTCCAGCAAACAAGGCGTTTCTTGACATATTCATCAGCTCTAAGAATATGTTGTTTCAAAGATCAAGAATGTCTTGTTGGATTTTGTTCAAGTCCTTTGTTGGATCCATTAACCTGGTGCAGCACTCAGGGCCGATAATGGTGCAGGCTCCCCCTTGCTTTGCAAGAATGTAATCCAAGACCACTCTGTTCTGTAAGATCATTATCTTGTGCGAAGCAAGAGTGTCCATGATGTTACCCAGGGCCAAAGCCGTATCATTGGCCAGTTTCTGTACAGAATTCGATAAGCTTCTGACTTGATCAAGGGCCTGTATGACACCATAAGACGGGATTAATGCTCCAAGAGTTCTTGACCACCATGTTTGTGCACAAGTGAGTCCTGGAATGCAGCCATCTTCTTTGTTCGTGGTAGGAGCTGAATTATGTAGATGTGGAGAGCTTGGAGTGGAGTGTGTATTTTCTCTGATAGCCGGTACACGTGTCACAGTTGGAGATGGGGTGTGCCACCCATGGGATTCCTGCTCCTACTGAAGGCGTGTGTGGCATGCAAACGTTCTTTCCAGCAAACAAGGCGTTTCTTGACATATTCATCAGCTCTAAGAATATGTTGTTTCTGGAGTCTACACTTTATCCATGATCTCCACGATGTCCATGATGATTACTAGTACGGCAATCTTGATCATGTTGATGGATGACTGAAGTTCCCGTATGTGATTCTCTGCGTTGTGTATTTAATTTTTTCTTCCGTGACAGTTGGCTTGGTAGGGGGTCTAGTTGTCTTTCAGAGGTGGTGGCTTCATACACAGGTGATGAGGTCGGTGCGTATGGGTCTCGGGACAGCCATCAAGTGGTATCTGCACAGAGTAAGAAAGAAAACAAAAGACGACAGAGCAGTATTTGTTGTAAAAGACTGCAAACACTAGGGTTGTATCCTTTGTTCGATCTGAGTCTGCTATTGTTGTTCCTTCTTTCCCTATTTCTTGATTCCTGGGACACCTAAAGAACAGCGAGGTAAGGATGGACTAGTGGATGGGGAAGGCCTATGAGGGATTCTTCACCCAGGATTGGCCCCCGACGCCTGTTGCATTCGGTTCTTTCCTGGGCTCCTCACTGGTCCGTGTGTCCTATCCTATCCCTGTAGGTGGAGGAACAACTTTACAATGTGAAACATGAGTCCAGGTTTTCCTTCCCTGACACAACACTGCAGCTGCTGTAATCAACATCACTTGATGTGGTCCGTGCCACTTAGGCTCTAACGGTTTGTTTCTGAATGACTTTATCATGACCCACTGACCTGGGATGATTGTGTGTCCCCCTTCTGGTGGAGCCTGCCAACATGACTCAACTCTCTCTCTGGCACTCTGTGCTGCCTTTGTGAGGTTTTCACAGTAAGAGATCAGGGCATCTGAGGCAATGTGTACATCAGCATTTCTAAGATCAATCACACCTGGCATCTGCATTGGGCGTCCAGTAATAATCTCATGAGGGCTCAGTCCTACTGATCTGTTAGGTGATGCTCTCATACTACACAGTACCGCTGTCAGTGCTTCGACCCACGGTACTCCTTCCTGATGCATTTTGCTTAGCCTGGTTTTGATTGTTCTGTTTGCTCGTTCAACCTGTCCTGATGCTTGTGGCCTGTATGGGCAGTGAAGATTCCACTTAATCTTCAACATTTTAGACACTTCCTTGACTACCTGTCCTGTGAAGTGTGTACCTTGGTCTGAGTCAATGCAATCTGGTAATCCCCATCTGGGAATGAAATCAGTGACAAGACATTTAGCAGTATGTGCAGCTGTAGCACGCCCTGTTGGATAAGCTTCTATCCATCTCGAGAACTTGTCTATTACTACCAAAACATCAGTTTTTCCCTTACAAGGAGGCAACGATATGTAATCAACTTGCAGGTGACGAAATGGTCCTGGTGGAGCTGGGGTACGTGTTGCTGCTGTAGTTGCTGCTGGCACATCATTATTTTTCTGACATGTAACGCATCTCTTGACTGTTTCAGTGGCTACATTTCTGAATTTTGGATTCCACCATTGATTTGAGAACCTGTGATTCATCGTTGCTGGACTACTGTGACCCAAATTGTGTATTTGTTGAGCCAAATATGGCAGCAGTGATTCGGGAGCGACATACTTCCCCTCTTTGGTCCAGCAGCGAGATGAATCCACTGTGGCTCCTTTGTCTAACCATGTCCATGCTTCATATAGAGGAACGTCTTTGTACAGATCAATAATTGATTCAGGAGGCAGAATTGTCTTCTGTGCTGTACTACCTGAACACACTTGTACAGTTGCATAGGAACAAGCCTGTTTAGCAGCTACATCAGCAAGAGCATTACCTTTAGCTTCCGTAGTATTAGTTGTGAGATGTGCTTTCACTTTGATCACCGCTAATTTCTTTGGAAGTTTCATGGAAAACATTAAATCTTTCACTAATCCAGCATGCTTAATGGGGGATCCAGCAGAAGTTAGAAACTGTCTACTTTGCCAAATGACACCAAAATCATGAATTACCCCAAAAGCATACCTGGAATCAGTGTAGATATTTGCAACCGATCCTGAAGCTAGCGTGCATGCTCTAGTTAAGGCTACTAGTTCTGCACCTTGAGCTGAAAAATGATCTGGAAGATGATCTGAAGCTACCACTTCAGTGGTGGAAGTGACTGCATAACCTGCTCGTCTGTTACCCAAAAAGCTGCTCCAACAGTTCGGTGAAATGGGGAGGGGCTGCTTCAGAGTAGTAAGTAGACTGAGTAGGAGCTGAGTAAAGCTGTTAATTTCTCCTAATGTCTTCTTGCTTTTCCTACACTCTTTCATCCAGTGTCCAGGTTTACCACAGTAATGACAACTGCCCTCCCTCTTAGGATTTTTACGTTTCTGTCGGTTCTCTGTGTTGACCTGAAAGGATACTGCTGCAATCTTTACTCTGGCTTTAACATCAGAGTCTCTTTCCCATGTAGCTAACCTGTCCAAGTTGTTTTGCAAACTTCCAGTGGACCATGTTAGATTTAAGAATGGCAAAGCAGATCTGTACTCTGATAAAAGTCCATCAAACCATGCTCGAACTAGTGGTCCTGTATGATCCAGTACCTTCTCTGGAGTGTCAGCTATTCCACTGTATGCTGCAGCTGACTGACAACACCTTTCAGTGTATTCACTCACAGTTTCTTCTTTCCTTTACACACAGTTAGTGATTCTGGACCAGTCTATTTTGGGTCCCATGATTTCTTTAGAATATTCAAAACACCTTCTCTCAAATCGCCTTTACTGGCATGTTGTAGTTCAGAAGTAACAGCAGACTCAAAACTGTTGAATTCAGATTCAGTTAGAATTTGTGACATCAGCTGTGTGACTTCTGCTAACGACATGTCGTAGAGACGCATTTTGCTGATCAATGCTCTTCTAAATTCAGAAAAATTTGTGCGTGCTGAGGGTAAGCTCTGGGATAGTCTCTCTATATCTTTTGGTCCTAGTGCTTTGGCAACAGTTTGTACTTGGACAACAGAAGAGTTGGGAGGAACACTTTCAATTCCCTCAATTCCCTGAGATCTTCTCCTAGCGCCACATACCTTCACTGAATCTACAGGCACATCAGTTACTGATTGGATGGCTACATCTGTTTCAAAGAAAGCTTGTAAGTCAGGATAATTGTTATCAGGCTGACTAACTTCTTCCACATCAGTTTTTGCTGCAGCTTTGTTGCGGTTCAATTTCTTAGTCAAAGAGGATACTCTAGCACGGAGCTCTTTGTTCTGTTCCTCTAGCTTTAAGTTATGCTGAGACTGTTGTATAGCTAGCGCTAAACCAAATTCTCTGTGGCAGCAGATAATGCCTTTCACATTGTTCTTGCGTATACATACTCCTAGTACCTTTTTACACTCATCTACAGACCAAGTCTTGTCTGGATGGATCTCATATTTCTGAGTTAGTTCTTGTCTAACTTTCTCAGTGACTATTAGGTTCATTTGCACTCCTAACAGTGATTTGAATTCGCTATCTGGCCACAAAGGAGTCGCGAGACCACCTTTTTCAGTTGTGGGGATCAGTCTAGCATTCTTTCTAAACATTTTGTGAGTTTCTTTGTTACCACACAATCAAAACACTAAAACTTCTCTGATCAACAGAGGGTACACTTGTTAACACAGATCAACTATTGTTAACCTTCCTTGGCAAAGCAGAGGATAACACAAATTGCTAGCACTTTACGCTAAACTTCCCTGCCGAAATAGAGGGTAACAAATATTAACACGTAATGTTAATCTTCCCTGCCTGAACAGAGGATTTTCAAAGAAAGCTTGTAAGTCAGGATAATTGTTATCAGACTGACTAACTTCTTCCACATCAGTTTTTGCTGCAGCTTTGTTGCGTTTCAATTTCTTAGTCAAAGAGGATACTCTAGCACGGAGCTCTTTGTTCTGTTCCTCTA